TATAAGAGATTTACGACAATGGTGTAAAGTTGAGACTTTGCTCCAAGTTATAATTACATGCTAGCAAAAATACTCACAAAATTGCGTGAACGACATGGAAAAGCTTTTAACCTTTAAAACTTTTTTGGCTTTTATTCTACAATAGAAAGAATTAGGTTTAAAATTGTAATAAATATGGTATCGATTAGACTTCTCCTCTCCTCAAACAGCTTTCGCTTGTGAGATAGCGCATTGTTACAATGAAATCCATCTGAACACATTTTATTGACCATGTCAATTTTACTTCAGAATCCTAATTTACTATGGCATTATTTTCACAGTTATGGAAGTCTATCATTTTAGCAGTTTCTCCACTTTAGACAACACAATTTGTGAGCAGCAGTTACTTTCAATGCTCTCACATCTATCTTCTAAATGATTTAATCCACCAGTAAATAATGCCTTTAGACAGTGCACTAGATCTTCAATAACTCTCAACTCTTGATGAATTGTTCTGTAGTTTAACCATTTTTAATTAAACCAAAATATTATAATAGTCTTATCGTATGAATTTTGAACATTAAAGTCAAATGGTTAAATCAAATTGTGGCAGTGTGAATAGCAGATTTGCCATCTTTAATATTAATAACTAAAACCACCCACCTCGTCATGTTTTTTATGCAAGATTGGTGAAACATAAACTTTTATTATTTGAATAGATGTACAGATTATTGGGATAAATATATATCTTCAAGCATCCTATCTATGAATCAAAGTGCAAGATATTGGCAATTCATCTGCACTATATTATTAGCGATGCGCCGTTATCTAATATTAATGCAGAGCGAATATTATAGTTGTTGTTGGAGCAAAATAAAGAAGACTCACGTTAGTGTCTATTAACAACGCACTTGGAATGCATGCTTCTATTATACATTTTTACTTTCAAAACAGTCTAAATTTAGGAACAAAGCTTTGAGAGAAAAAAAGTTTGATAATAGTAGCGGTACTCAGAGAATCGCAAATGTCCGTGTAATTATATCTGGTAGAAGAATAGTGAAATAATCGTGTGATATAATGAAACTAAAAGCGACACACTTATTAATATGTATATTCTAGCAAATAAATTTTATGCTTTTCCCCCGTTGTTGCTATTGGTGGATATGCACATTTCTCCCACAATATATTTCTTTTGTGAGAAGTGCAAAACTGGAAATCTAACGAGCTGACATAAATCATGAAGATTACGCTAAGCTTAAATCTACGAAAGTACCCCTTCTATCCCAATTACACGAGTTTATTTGTAAGGTTATCAAACCCTGGATTAAACAAGAAACTATGCCTTTGTGTCAGCGCAATCAAACCAACACGAAGAATTCGACAGTATAAATTCATTATTATGTAACCATCAAGACGTTTCTGGTTGATAGATTTAAATATGACGCAAGTATTAAAAATTCCAACTTTATTTCGAGGATTTTAATTATAGGTCATACATTTAATTAATTTGCTTACATTGATAATAATTACGTTTATTGGGTCAAGTAAACGTGCAAACTATCGCAAGAAAGAGGAGGTAATTCTGATACGTAACTGTCAACTCGTTTTTTTAAAATAATACAGCCATTAACATTGGCGTTTACTTTCCAAATTACAATGATGCACTATAAATCCCGGTAAGTAATATTCTGATTTATGTTTCGTTTTTAAGCCGAGTATGTTAAAGAAAAATAGAAGCTATTTTTTTTGTTGTCTCAGATTGCTTACTTATTAAAGTTTAGCATACGTATTATCATGATGCGACAAACAAGTGAAGATTGACATCCGATCAACGCATACATTAACAAAGTATAAACATCAGTTTACTCCCCCCTTCCCATAAAAATTTGTTCCAAAAATTTCTTTCGGGTAAAGTAGAAATTATTTTTAGAACACGTTTAAGCTACGCTTTAAAAAGTAACAATAATAAGAAATATACTTTAATGTTATAATAATAAATGTTATACATATTTAATAAAGTTAACCATATATGGCACATATACAGATTTATTTTCAGCTCTGAATGTTATTCCCTGCCAAATCTACAAAAAGAAATATAAATTTCAAGGGGTTGTCGACTTTTGTTTACATTATTAAATAGCATCATGTGAATTCTATATCGTTCTGAGAGTGTTGCGTAAAAAAGACGTTATGACTAAAAAACAAGCTTTATATCACTTCTAATGTTAATAAACTGGGATACTTGAATGCTGCAATTTCACGATTATTCACATGACACAGTCTATAACAAATACATGCTTTCGCTCTAATAAGCGTCGCTATGGAAGTATGACCGACATTTTATTAAATTTAATACCAGATACAAACAAGTTTTCCAATAAAGGACTCTTTTTGCAACTGAAAAAAAAAATAAATTTTCCTTGGATTACCAACGTAGAATTGAAGACTTGAACTTTATAAAAAACAAAATATAGAAAATATCAAGCTCTTTTTCCAAGTGACAAGTTATCGCAGCTTTAATATCATCACAGCATTCGGTGGAATACCAAAAAGCAGTAATATTAATCATTCATTTCGGCAATAGAAATAACATGTGAAAATTTAATTAAGATGATAATAATTAAAATAATGAATTCTATCCATTGCACGTTGAAAACAAAGATCTTCAGAAATCGCTAAAAGATTGTAATTCTCCGGTATGTCGGTGTGGGGAAAGAAGCGGGGAAGAGAGAGGGCGATGTTGAGTACTAGTACTAAATACGTAAGCTTTAATTGACGCTTCCATCAAACAATTCACCAAGTAAAATTGACAAATAATGACCAAATAATGAAACCCCCCCCCCCCCCCCCTGCTAATACGGGGAGGATGATTATAATGGTGGTGGAGTCGGATGATAAAACTAGTTTCATATCCAATAAAGCGATTCAAGTAGAAGCACGAAAAGTTTAACAAGTCATACTCGAAAGATAGACACAAAAGCGATAATATAGTATTTACACTAAATGAAATCCATTCACTTCTACCTTGGCCAAAAGGGGCACCATGACAAGTGTATGGCTTATCTGCAACTGCACTCTGTGAACATGTTAATGGACAAGAATGCCCAAGGGCTGTTCACACGGAGTTGAATGCACGCTTGTGTTGCTACTGCGTAACAAGCATGAATAATATTGTATCATCTAATACAAATAATATTAACTCTAATTAAATAACGGATCTGCAGATTCATTGTCAAATATTCCACTAAATATTAATATGCTTAATCCTTATTAGAAATCGGGCTAGGACAATTCTCCTTATTATGCTTAATACTTGGTGTTTTTGGCAACATTTCACTATCTTCATCATCTTGCCGAATGCCCCTATCCGTAAAGATTCAACTTTCGGATTTGTGTTTGTTTAACAAACTAGACGATTATCAATCTTGATTGACACTGTAGGAACCAGTAAGATTATGGGCGCTCCAAAACAAGTAAAAGAAGTTTTCTGTATCCAAAAGGCTCTAATACGTGTTGAGAGAGTTTTTCACTTTTGCAGAAATAAGAATAAATTAAAGAACGAAACTACTTTATGCCTATCAGTGTGAAGCATGGTCGGTATCATTCTCGGCATTCTATTAAATTCGTAAAAGTAACTACGAGCATTGAGACATCAGCAAAGTATGACACAAGTTCAAAAACGCATTCTCAAAAAAACACTGTTATCTAGTGGCAGAAGGCTGGTCGCGTATTATATTTCGAATAATAAATTGTTTTTTAAAACATAAGGTCGAAAGTGCCAAAACTAGTGTCTGAAAACTTGTTATAGATGATTTCATAGTTAGGGCGCATTTATGCATGCGCTTTATCATTGTTATCTTTCCTATGCTTTGCATATACCAAGATTTGAACTTTAACTCATTTGGTTGAATGATTAGTTAGATTCCACGTTAACGGAGATTGGTTTTTTGAAACCAGTCCGTGTTCTGTGGCGCTTGCCTGGGTATGTCCTGGATAACGTTCGACAGTTCTCCCCCCCCGAAAATTTCACGTGACGCCATATCTTTACCGCTTTAATGGTCAATACATTTTAATATCAAGTTTTGTTGCCGGATTCTGTAATCCCGGTACTACTGTTGTCGCCATTATCATTATTCTAAATGCTAATACCTTGTTCGCAAGCCCCTTATCTTTTAACAAACAACTGATAGTCTTGGAATCACTGATAAGGTTCGCACCTTATCGTAAAATAAATACAACCGACTGCTAATAATAATCTCCAATAATACGTGAACATCGACGTTTCTTGTTTACGTTTATATCCACTAACAGGCGATCCCAAACGGTTGAATCTTTTGACAGTAAAAAACTGTAAGACCGGTTCGTAAGACTTTTGAGCTAAAAAGTCGTGTAAAAAAAAAAGAGTGAATGAGAGTGAATGAGAGTGAGTGAGTGAGAGTGAGAGTGAGTGAGAGTGAGTGAGAGTGAGAGTGAATGCGAATGTGAATGAGATTATACATAATATTAAATAAATATTAAATAAATATTAAATAACGATAATAATTAGAATAATATTATTAATCAATAAATCACAATGACAATAATATGTTGGGTACGTTGATTTTGTGTCCTTGACAATAATATGTCGTTAATATTTAATAATATTATGTAGGATCCATTGTATAGCGACAATCCTGTTAAAAATTTGTTTGTGTCTAGTCAATATTCCCAAATAGGACGACTTTTTATCGCTTATCAGCAGAATTCCCAATAAAGATCTCCCCTTACAATATAAATTATTACATTAACATCGGAGCAGTGAAATTCTTACCGCCTTCCCCTGTTCGCTCTAACCTAAAACAAACTTCCTAAACGCTCTGCACATATTGTCTGTGTAACACTCTATTGTATATATCCTCTCTCCCAGCATCCTTTTGCGAGGTACAACGCATGAAGAACACATTACACATTCCGTAAATCATCATTCCTCTTGTTATATAATTTGACCTTTAAAAAAATAAATAAAGAACCAATTCAGTAACATGGCACCAATAATATTATTACCACCAGCTCTATTCCACTCGTATAAGCATGGTCTTGGTCAGAAACCAATAATGACTTCCCAACATAATTCAAGAGGCAGACGGAACAACTGTGACTTTACCATACCTCACCAAAATGCGAACCAGGACACAAACCGCCCGTTCTCTAAAAACCACTCACAACCAGAAACAACCAAGCCTCCCTTGAAACGGTTCACACATCATAAATCACAGTCATTGACAAAATTAAACGGTTCTGCGAGCAACAACGAATCGTCGCAGGTGCCAATGCGCAGGTCAATGTCACAGCAGCCAAAGCCAAGGAACGAATTCGTTGCCATACTCGATAAGACTCACAAGACGGAGAGAGACGTTAGGGCTTCGCTTACCAAATTGAGAGGGTTGATATTGACCGAGGGATTGCCTGACGAGGTAAATATACACACATACCTGAGAAAACGGAACTGCGGTAAAACGACTTGGGCTTTAAAAATGATATCCGCTAATGAAAAAAAAAAAAAAAAACAACGATTACTGTAAAATCCAGAGAAAAATTTAAGGATTCTTTCTTTCTACGAAAGAATTCGTAAAGATTATAATTCTCTTCACCCTCATTGTCTATAGATTTCCGTCATTCACAACCTATTCCTTTTCTATTCTTTGCGTTTCAATCAGTTTGCATGCCATGCTAACCACTTTTCTTTCCTTTCCTCTTTTTTCCCTATAGCATTTTCCAAAATCAGACCAATCTCTCCAGACCAACCTTCGATCAACTTCCCTACGCTCTCGAGTTTGGAAACACTTTTTAGGTGTATATCATATCTCCGCCAAGGAATACATACGATTGATAAAGAAGGGAAAGTCGGCCGTGTATAGCAAAGTTAGAAACGATACGTTCAGGACGTTGACCACAAACAAGGCATTCAAAGAAAGAGTTAATGACGATATGCTTAGTCGAGTTTTGAATGCGTTCACATGGAAAATGCACTGTGAGTACACTTTGATTGTCAGTGACGAAATAACGTAGCGATAGATTTATATCGTCAAGCGATCTTGGTACTTTTGAATTCATGTGATCTCATTTTGTTATCGTTTCCCGTCGTCTTTTTTCCCCCCAGTGTCTGGAAATGATAATATTACATACGTGCAAGGGATGAACGTACTCGTGGCCCCTTTTCTGTTTACAATGTCGGAAATCGATGCGTTTTTCTCATTTGCGACATTCATCGAAATGTGTTGTCCTCTCTACGTAAATTCTACAGTTCAGGGAGTCCATTGTGGACTTGAGGTAAGCAGCACGACAGTAATTGCATTTGTGTAAACATTATTGTAGTACTATGTTGTAATGTTGCGTTATTCAGCGTATTATCTTTGTCATCCACTAATATTATATTCGTCATCCTCGTCATAATTATACATATTGTTCTTTCCAGTTACTTGATCAGTGTCTCCAGATTGTCGAACCAACGCTTTTCAGGCATCTCAAGTCAAAAAACCTTTCTGCCAAAATTTATGCGTTGCCATGTAAGGAAGTCTACAGGTTTTCTTTTTTGACAGTTTTTAATTGTTAACCTATCACACAAGTCACTAATACATAATACCCCTTTTACATATTCCATTTTTGTGTTGGTCCAAATTCGACTACGCCAACACAGCTGTTCTGACATTCTGTGCATGTACGCCGCCTTTGGAAGAAGTACTCAAACTGTGGGATTTCTTATTTGCATACGGTGTGCATCTCAACATTCTTTGTGTAATCGCACAGCTTATTCTAATGAAGGACGAACTATTAAAGTCTCAAAGGTACATTTTTAAGCGTTGCTTTGAATGTGTGATGAACAATAGAATGAGTAAGAATCGCAAAGACTAATCAAATTTGTATTGGTATGCTGTCGATCTTATAGTCCCATGAAACTACTCAGAACAATGCCTGATTTAAAGGCAAAGCCCGTCATTGACCTGACGGTGGAATTGGTTCACAAGATACCGGATGATCTTTATGATAGACTTGTGCGGCATCCATTTGATGCTGAAGTGGCTGCTTCAATATTGCGCGGCGCAAGATAATATAACATTGTTATGTGTAAAAAAATTATACGACTAGTTTTCCCCACTAATTTTAACTTATTCACAAAAACCTTTTAAATGTAAATTTCAATTGGTAGAATATCGTTTGTAAATTACGTTCACCTTTGGTAGAAGCTGGACTTATCAACGCTTTTGATAGACTCCTCTTTAAACCTCTTTGGTGCATATTTTTTGGTTGCACGTGTATTTTATAAAAAAAAAAAACATTTTTCGAATTCCCTTTTAGATATACAATAAAATTATTTATTCTGGAAATTTATAGTAAAAAAAAAAATTTTTTTCAATAGTTTGACAATCGAAAGGTGCACAATTGGTATATCTAAACTTTTAATTGAATAAATGATACGATATATTACTATTACAAAAAAGAATCAAGATACTTGATGTTAATCCAAGCAACGTATGATCCCAACGTCCCAAACGTTGGCTTTTGTTGTTGACCTCGTTCAGGGATATTGTCTAAAATTATAATCACTCGAATAATAGAACGAATATTGCACCACGTTCACAAAATTCATCCTCCCCAGCATATCACGTATAAGCAATCATCATCATCATACCCACTTTGTTTATTGAGTCCATCTTTATCAAACACTCGTTCATTGCATGACGGCCAAGTCTCAACTACTCATACAGTTGGAAGCTATTGTCTGCGTGCTCGACGTGCTTGGACGCCCGCACGTAATATGTCCAAGACCTCTACGGTTGTTTCCCAACTGATGCATCCGTCTGTGATTGATTGCCCATAAACTAGAGCCGATGGTCCCGCTGATGTGAGTTTTTGGTTGCCTTTTGCGATACAAAAAACAATTTCATTCAGTGAGTGAGCTCACAACATTGTCATTTACGATCGTGAGATGGTTCAATAAAAATTTTATCACGATTGTGCACAAACGAGCCAGCAAAAGCAAGTACCTTCTTTTAAATGTGATTCGATCATTACTCCAAGAATGCCATCTCCCGTTACGGAAGATTTCAATTGCTCAGCCTGCGAGTCAAAAGTATAACCACGCGTTAGAGACTGATGATGTCTTGTTTGTTGTCAAGCAAGCAAGCAACAGACAACTTGTTCACCCCAAAGACTATTTCACTAATCATCACTACCATTACCACCATCACCACATCCGTAATTACATACGATATCCTTTGCGACATCAACTTGTCGACTGAAGATCTTCTGACTGTTTCCATGACTACAGTCAATCATTACTCTCGGGCATAACTTTGCAGCCGCCAAAGTGGATATTATTTCTTTTACGTGCTCCTGAGAATAATTCGGCCCCTCATTACCACCTCGGAGTATTATGTGACAGCTGTCATTACCATTAGTTGCGACGATGGCACTTAGACCTTGTTTTGTAACGGAAAGAAAGTGATGGCCCACGCTGGCTGCTTTTAATGCGTCCATTGCGATATTAATGTTCCCATCCGTACCTGTTAATGAATAATTAGTATGAAGTGGTCACCCCCATTCAACAAATTCGGTCAGCACATATATCCGTCTTCTTGGAGAAATAGTAATTACCATTCTTGAACCCGACTGGAACTGATAATCCGGATGCTAACTCGCGATGAACTTGTGATTCTGTAGTTCTTGCACCAATTGCTCCTAAAAATGCGAGTATTCAATCGGATTGCCATTGCCATAAAAAAAGCTAATGTCATTTTCATAGTTGGGTTCTTACCCCATGAAACCAAATCAGCTATGAATTGTGGTGTAAGAGTATCCAAGAATTCACATCCGCACGGTACCCCGAGTTCATTCTGTTTGCACATCAATGGAGGATTAATTAAACACGATGCAAAATCCACACTTTATAGACTCAGGAAACGTACGAGTTCTAAGAGTAAGCCGCGTGCAAGCCGAAGTCCTTTGTTGATTTGGAAACTGAATAAAAGTCATGTTTATAGTGATTAACGCTGTCCCATATATAAAAACGTCTTTTTCTCTGAATTTATCTGTTTTACCTGTTGTTCAGTTGTGGATCATTTATTAAACCTTTCCATCCAACAGTTGTTCGTGGCTTTTCAAAATAAACTCGCATGATTATGCATAAATCACTCGATGCAGTGTCTGCATACGCTTTTAACTTTCCGGCTAAAAATAAGTTTAAAAATTTTTTTTTGCATCGCATCCAAAACTTGTGTTATTTGTACGAACAAGGTGACAGGTTCCATCGTTCATAACTCTAGCTTTTTCTCCCCTCCCTACATTCAGTATTTCTCACCATATTCGACAGCCGATTTAACATCGTGTACGGAACAAGGTCCAACAATAACCAGTAGCCTATCGTCTTCACCCTTAATTATAGCTTCTGCATTTGTTCGACCGAGAATCACACTTTGTGCTGCTTGGAGTGTTAACGGAAAATCTTCCATTAAGATTTGTGGTGGAATCAACGGTTTGATTTGTTTGATCCTTTTATCATCGAGTTCGTTCAGAGCTAAGAGTATAGGCGACATGTTAGAAAGAGGACAGCTAGGCAATGATTACAAAGACTGGTATAATCTGGCGTACCGTCACGCACGATAACTCGTTCGGCCATATTTATATTTGTCGAGGAAAAAAAACTAGACTTGATAAAGTATGAGAAGTGCGTAGATTGATTGATTGATTGATTCGATTTTTTTTTATCACAAATAGAATTATTCCCGATTAGTCATTTTATAACCGTTTTTTGCATTTGGATCGAAAAATGGCAATGATTGGCCGATTTCATGTACACGTGTAATTCTAAAAATATCAGTTTCCAGTATTATCATTATGCTACCGAATGAGAAGCACAGCTCTTTGCTCGGAATAGCCAAGAATGATTACTGCCAGGGAATAAATTCTATTACATGAAGCGTCATTCAATATACTATTGCGTTCCATATTGAAATCATATCCGTGATTAAAACATAGCCTTTTTTGAAGACGGCAATATTTTAGATATAAATAGAAAATGGCAATAGGAGTTGATAACATCATCAGCATAGCCCAACTATATACGTTCCCATCACGCTAACCCTTTTCATCCATACCCGTCCACCCTTGGAAATTCAACGGCACGCAAAACCAAGAATTTCTTCACGATAATGTTCCAGAAATGCTAGATTGGCGCTATCCAACAGTCCGGAATTGAAAAAGTTTCATGGGCAGTTTTTAAGCAAAACGTGGAAACAACAAAGTATATTGCTGAATTAGAGGCAGTTGTACTTTTTTTTTTATTACACACTATATCATAGGTCGCGAAATTCTACTAGCTGCTCATTTTTCGTTTGTGCTATAAAGTAAAAATCGATATCAACACATGTCCTGCCAAGAATAGAGAGTGAACAAGGACAAAAATAACAAAATACTCACTTTCCGCTTGTACGACATATCCGGCTCCAACCTCGCAATCTTTCAATATTGACTTTTCCATGATTCTAGCATTATTACACACAATGCATACGTCCAACTTCACGCTGTCCAAAGAAGTTTACATTCACATCAATCAATGGTTTCGTTTAGACCGCTCACAAGCAAAATCCGGTGACATGTTTGATACTCACTTGTCCTCTATGACAACATTATCCATGATGATAGAATTAGTAATTTTCACGTTTTTGCCTATAATGCAGTGGGATCCTACGATAGATCGTTTGATCGACGTACGTTCGTCGATTTTTGTTTCCTCACCGATAAGCGAGTCAGCACCGACCTAGAATAAAATCGTGTGTGATAAATGCATCTCGTTTGACATGACACGACGTGATCTAACATGCGACCCGCGTCTAAACCTACCTGTGTCTTTTGGTTTACAACAGCAGTTGTAGCGACTCGAGTATCCGTAACCGATTTTGCCATCTAAATAGATGTTGATTCAACACTCCCCCCATCTAAAACGATACCATCAAAACGTCGATAATGAATATCTTACATGTCGATTCACTTCATAATATCTCGAAATGGTGTTACTTCGACAGCAGAAATCCCCCTTGTAAACGTACAATTGGCAGTCTACATAACAGTCATTATCGCCCGCCCACGCGGATGAATAGGGAAGCGCGGATTTTAAATAGTCTTCTGTCCCAGCCACGACTGTAAGTAAACAAAACGCGCAAGTTATAATTAATTGACAGTAAGAAATCATTGTAAACTCAACGGCATAAAATCTAAGACAAAAACTTGCGTTTTTGTATTCCTTCTCGCTCTATTAACTTTCTTTGATGTTGGCATTTGACTAATAATGGCAATATATGCTGGCGTATGCTTGATAATGTTTTCCGTTGTGCAACTAAATCAATCACCCATCGTTTGAATATGTACAGATGTGCATCATTCAAACACGTATGAATGGTTATGCGCGGAAACCTACATGGACATTGCATAAAAACATATAACGTTAAAAAAAGGGCTTCTTGAAACAATGATGTTGATACGGCTGGAATGATAGAGAATAAAAAAAAAGTTATTACACACTTCCACAAAAGAGACATACGAAATGACAATTCATCATCTAGGTCGGCACTCTGTGCAATGTACACGAGACGCGAACTCATCATGTCTACCCCGACTATTTCCTTCACTGTTCGGTTTATAAATCATTCCGGGTTAGCAAAAACCTTTCCCTACTCACCACTTTCCGCAAAGAAATTATCAAGTTCTTGCATAACTTTATTACCATCCTCTTTGTATCCTGCAGAACTGCTGCCACTGCCTTCAGATTTACTTGACTCGTAGAAAAGTACGGTACATGTGGGATTATGTATGCGATGGTAATCTAATAGACTGTGAGGTGGAAGATCGAGTACTAGATCACAGCTGATTACGACGAAATCGTACTATATATTTTAAAGAGATCAATCGTCATAATCCCCTGGTACTATATAAACAACTCGCTCGTTTCATTTAATTAACAGAACCGAACCTTGATCTTATCCTTGACGACTCGCAAAGCATCGGCAGTTCCAGCATCATCCTCTTTGCTGACTTCTAAGCTCGGCTTTATCTTTCCGTCATAAGCATTCTTTAGATAAGTCCCAATTTTATGTTCTGCATCCGGATGGGTGACAACCATTACATCGTAGATTCCTGCTTTTTCCAGCCAATCAAGAACGTAGAATAGAATTGGTTTATTTGCGACAGGAAGGAGTGCCTTGGGAACATTCTTGTCTTCGGTAAGTGGGTACAGTCTATCAAAAAACGGCAGGTATAGAAAGAAGCGATAATTTTTGCCCCCAGTTTGTAAATAATGAAAAGTGATGAGAATGACAATTATCTACGGCATGATCAACGGTTAGAAAACCTGTGGCCATATCCAGCTAGTACGACGGCTTGGAATTCCGTATATCGGAGACCCACTTTCTGCTTAGACTGCTTCTTTTCCGATTCAAATAACAACATATTTCTTTGCTCTGTTCGTATGATAAAATAAAACTGGGTATTAGTATTATTTTTTATTTTGATTTAGTCCCGTGATAGATGGGAAGTTTGTGTAATATACAACGATCGGCAGATTTAAGTATAGTTTAAACAACATCTAATGAGCGAGTAAGCTATCCACTTCTCGAATCTTAACCGTCCGGTAAACTAATTATAATGTGGTCAATCGCAGAGTTGGTGGAAACAATACACAGTGCCAAGCTTATTGCAGATTTTGCGACAAGTATTCATATTCTAAAACCGCAAAGAAGGAAACTCTTTATTCGTGTTTCGCGCAAATATTTGTTCAAGCAGGAATACGGGATGTCTATCGATTTACACATTACTCATTAAGATTATTATTAAAGGACAATATCCAGAATAAATTATTTCTGCTCTATTAATCTCGTGTCCAAGCGATGCAGGTCGCTTGCAGTAATCAGATATTCCATCAAATACGTATTCTCATCACACCTGCAAATAAAAACGCGTTCGTATTAGAATAAAGCGTGTACTCGACAAAACCATTGACGAGAATTCGAGGACTAGCTACTTACATTTTCCCAATATCTTCCAACACTTTCGTAACACATCTACTCAAGCTTCTCAACCCAATCGTAAATTCAGATAACCGTGTTCTCAGATAACCACCATGACTTTTGACAATCTCTCTGATCCATAGCAAATGAAACTCGACATGCGGGGTCGTTTCCATGCTTATTGCTATGAACTTTATCAATTTGTCTAAATATATCTGCGGTATCTCTTTTACCACAAACGAAACATCTGACGGTGGAATTGATTCGTAAACTTTTTGTATTAAATAAGATTCATTAAGCCTAAACGCCATTACGAGTGACTTGAGATAGTCGGTCGATGAAAGGGTTGACAGAATAGAGGACGGAGTAATGGTAATGTCGAGATTGAACGGATCGAATAAAAGTGTTTCGTCTAATGAGTATATTAACAGTCCTTCGGTTGATGCTGCTGCCCACGAGCGTCCAGTTGGCGAAAATCGAACACACTTGGTGCGCACTTCTGGCATTGTCTTTCTGACTGACAGGTCACCTGTCTGAATACCTGGAAGCGATTTGTCAATACGATCTTCTAAATCGCTGAGATCTCCCGCTTCATCAATCAGTTCTTTTGGTCCCGCTTCCGTCATATTTTTACTATTAAGAAATTCCATGACCCCGTCTAATGATCTATTTCTAGATATGGTAAACTTTTTGATCAATAGTGCCGTCCTCACTTCGTACACGCAAACGTATTTGCTGTTTCCTCCAGCCAATATACACGATCCATCAGCAGTATATGAAAGACTATTGAATGCTTTTCCCGAGGTAGAATTGGCAGCCGTGGTCCTATCGCCTACTTTTCTCCCTCCGCTGATATCCTTTCTTCCTTCAGCGGTCCCAACCTGCGTTCCTCTTTCCACATCCCAGAATGCAACCTGCCCGTCCAGTGTGCTACACGCTAACTGTCTTCCATCCGGTTTAAATGCAATTGCCAATACGTCAGAAGTATGTCTGAACACTTCTACATTCTTGCTCCTTCCAAATATGTCCCACGTTCTGGCAGTATAGTCCCACGAAGATGATGCAAGAAGTGTCCCATTTGGACTAAAGGCCAGTCCGCTAATAGGACCTTCATGTCCGCTAAGAATGTCCAACAATTTTCCCGTTTGCACAGACCATACGTACATTTCAAATGTATCCATCGATCCTGCACATATGATCTCTCCAGATGGATCCACACATAGACAGGTAAACTGTATAGGCGAAGGAGTGGTGAACGTTCTAAAATTACGATATCTTATCAAATCGAACGCTCTCACCGTGCCATCAAGTGAAGAAGAGAACACGACTTGTCCATTTTTGGCAAATTCTACTTGGGTTATCGCTGATGAATGTTCAGTGAACGTGACAAAGCAGAAACCAGAAATGGTGTTCCAGAGTTTGAGTTTACCGTCATCCGCGCCAGTGGCTATTGTCTGCGAGTCGGGCGAATATGAGAGTGTATTCATGTCGTAGTAGTGTCCTTGCTGTTTGAGGACGTAAGATTCCGACTGCCATTCCCAGACGAGGAGTTGAGATTGTTTAGACGAGCCGAACGCCAACCATTCCGAAGATTTGTTTATTGCAAGTGAAGTTATTTTCGTCTGCGAGATGCTGAGACGTAAACGCGTGGATGGGGTGGGATGTGATACCATCAAGAAACGTAGTTTTAAAAAAAAACAGTGCGAAAAAAAAAGCGAATTGTAAATGAAAATTATGTAATGATTTATATAGGGCAAATACCAATTTGTAAATATAACATCTTATGGTCTTACCTCAAGGTATGTATGTTATTAAAGTCTGGCATCTCCCATATGCCAAATATACCCGATTGGAATCCAACGACAAGTAACCGTGATTCGACGTGATACTCTACACAGACGACTCGAATACTTGTTGTATTAAAAAAGTGCTTAGATGCAGTCACCCATCGCTTTGTTGCAGCCTGTGTCTCTTTCACACCATCTGTATCAATGTCCATGATATGTTCATCAGCCGACTCTTTAGGCACCGTATATTTTCTTACAAATAACGCTCCATCGCGACCTACAGTATATATCTAGGTGGATGAACATTGAGTCAGCGATAACTGATCCTGGCTAGTAACTATTTGAATGACTACATACCGTTTTTTGATTTTTGGTAAAAAATGCGCCAACCACAGTGTCTTTATGCCCGGATAAGACGGTTTTTGTAAAGCCTTCAATTGGATTTACTGAATAAATTCTTGCTGTCATATCCTTTGAACAAGATATGAAATATCTACCAGCATTTCATTTGTATAGAAAAGTGAATAAAATTATTCAATGACATATTTAACTTTTTGAGTTCATGTTGCTTACTGTGAATCTCCACTCCATGTCACTCCAACTACATCGTCATAATGTCCTGTGTATTTCCTATGCAGCACAAATGGAGCGAATTCTTTATTGAATCCAGGTGATTTCCATACTTCAATGTACTTTTCATGCGTGACTGCAAAGAACCTTCATTCGTGGCAAAGAGAATTAAGAATAATAACGAACCGGAAATCGTTTAAACGCGACGTATTAGGATACTTTCCATCTGGAGAGAATTTGACGTCTGTAACGCCCATTCCAAAGTTAAATTTATGCAGCACTACTCGACGTGGGTAGTTTACTAACAAAACTCGGCCATCTAGATGATCCTCTGCGTTAGCATTTATCGTCGTTATGAAATCAGAGAAGAAGAGGAGGAGGAGGATATTGTTGAACGTTAGGTCTACCTTCATCTACGCTTAGTAAAATCGCAGCATTCGGAGAAAGTGCTATTCTACGAATGTTCTTCTGATTCTCAAACGGAAGGGTGATTGATTTATTGCTATTAATCAACGAATAGAGAGTCGGGACGAGTGAAATAAGCAAATAGGCTTGATCCGCCAGACATGACAGCAAACTTGTTTGATTGATTTGCAATCCATGGTATTTATCAAAAATCAAAACATTTTTGCGATCGATCTTACTTTACAAGATCAAAGACAGACACTCGATTCCCAACCGGACTCAATATCGAATTTCCATCTGGAGTGAATACCAGATTCCCTTGGGTATACACCGTTCCCAACAAATTAGAGAACTTAAATGTCGAATGGCAAGAAGTGAAAAAAAGGTTTTATAAATTCATTGTGGTTGAATACAAATCGTAGATGATAATGGCTTACTTTGAAATCTATCTTCATTTAGGCAAAGACGTAAGAAAAAAATTTTTTCTACTGTATTCTTAATTGGGTGATAGTCAGGTGACAAAGATGATGATAATCTGCGACGCCAAAGGCATAATATAATAGTATAACTGACAACCAGACTTGACATAGACACGTAATCGATGCGTCCGCATATTCCACTGGTCTGTGGGAGACTTTGTAATATTACAGGCCATTACCTTTTGCGTCTTTTCCCATGAGGAAAATAATGTGGATGACCGTAATTAAAGCAATTTTATAATAAGAACTTTATGCCTTTACTATTCTCTGGAAATGAAAAATCTCTCTGAAGACAGGGCTGATAAGTAAAATTATGTCTACAAGTTTTTCGTACACAATCGTGCGCGCCAGCTCTACTGTATCTCACAATAACGATTTCTCAAAATTGTATTCGAAATTTGAATCTAGTAATCAGGTAGATTGATACTCGTTTACCAGGAATTACTGCTTACACCTTCGCTTGTGTCTTACTATAGTCCGTAATAATTACGCCTCCGTACATTATTAAATAATTAATGCCATATGCTCGTTCTACGTATGTTAGTAGGCGGTATGATCTTGGACCTGCTAGTTTTGTTGACTGAGGCGGCATGCACGTCGCCATCATTGGTAAGTAAATAGTAAGATGATTAGACGGCCATCCCTTGGCGTATAACTATACTGCTCCATTATCTAGGAGCTTTTATACACCGAGCTCAAATATAAATATTCACAACGCCGTCGAGGCATTTTTTGAATATGGTCTAAATATCAAATCAGTAAATATAAACTTATCAGTCATGAAATGTTTGGCTGGTATGGAACTTGCCGCAGCAAATTTGCCAAGCAATTTCAAATATAGAGTGAGAAAAGACAATTACATTTGTCAGCAATATTTTAGATTAATATCTGTCCTTGGATTAATAAATTTAATGAATTCATATCCTGGTTTGCAGCGTTGTAATTTGACTGTGAAAAACGACACAATATAAACAACATCCCTTACATATGCGACCCAATATACATGAGGACAAGTGAAAGTGACAGGAATGTTTTGAAGATGCGTAACCAGTAGAGCCATTGGTAAATTACACATAAATAAATTAGTACTCGTAGCTGCGCAACTATGCAACAGGGGATGTGTCACTGTTAAACCTATATTACGGGTGAGCTATTAAACCTTGATTACGGGTGATGTGTCACTATTAAACCTTTATTACGGGTGATGTGTCATTATTAAACCTATATTACAGGTGATTGTGTCACTATTAAACCTAATCGAACAATGTTGTTCACCGCCTAGCATCCCTATTTCCCGAAATATGACGGATATTTCTTTTTGCTTTATTTTCCTCCGGACCATTGCGATTATACTATTTTTATTGCTGTAACAAACAAACGCTCTGCTTGCTGTCTCTGAACAATTTGTAAGTAGAACATGCTACCGTCGATTGCAAATAGCGTAATAGATAAACTTGCAGATGCTAATTGTTGTGGTTCCTTTGTTATAAGATTTCTTTATCATTTTGACAAGGGATATGGGAGCCAATGATATTTCAGTGCCACGTACGGTGATGTATATTATCATCAGTTGTATTAATTAGACTATTCTATTTCGAGTCATTTTGATCACCTCTTTCGCCTCTGGTATTCTAAATTTGAAATGACTTATCTATCGATGTTTGGTTTATCACCAGCAGACTGTTGCATTTTTTGGAGAAATAGTAGCTTCTAAGCGTTTAATATTGGTACCATTACTTCGAACACCTAATTCGTAGTTATCGAATCACTTTAATTCGCAACGTTGATTTTTGAATCGGCAGTCAGCCATTCGTGGTTAAGTGTGAAAGCCAGCGGTTTACGAATAATGTACATGCATAAATAAGCAACTACAGTGGGACCTCCCTAAGTGCAAACCCCCCAAGTGCAACTACTAAGTTTGATCCCTCTAAGTGCAAAGTCTGGTTCAGTCCCAAGTTTATAAGCTATATAAGCATTTCACCCTCCATAAGTGCAATATCTCTCTAAGTGCAAGTTTCATCAGTTTTTCCTATGTCTCCCGTCGAGTTGCACTTAGAAAAGTCTGTTATCGCTATAAAAAACTTTTTTGGGGGCATCTAAAGCAACGTCTTAACTTTACTGGGGGGTTTAGCATAAATCAATATTACTTTTTTAAGCTAAACTGTTTAGAGAAAAAAAAAACCTTATATTTAGCACTTAGTTTTATAATTTAGGATTGGCTGTACGTAATTGTGTAATATTCATTTGGTGACACATTCGTATAACGTATAATAAAAATTGTTTAAGTTGTATTTAACCATTCTTTTTAACCTGTTATATTTGATCCTTTTTGAGCTTTTATATCACTTAATAAGTTTATCTTGATTACATCAACTTACGCTTTCATGTAGCAATATTACCAATTGGACTCAACACATAAAATAAAGATGGTACGAATAATTAGACAATTAACTTTTTATATTATTACTGATAAATTTACACTCTAACATTGAATCTGTATCAAATTTAAACCTAAAATTGTTATCAATCTTTGTTAATTACAAATCTTATTATGTTGCAAGTATATGCAAGTTTTATAATGTGGAGTAAAACCTTTTTACTGGAAAGGAGAAAAATTACCTTAAACTAATAACACTTGCACTGTCAGGTCACAGAACACGCAAGCATTCATCAGTTTGCTATTGTTTTTATTATAACATTTGCTAGCCTGACTAATTGTAGATTGACATGCTACTCATGTTTTCTATGTCAATTAGATGGTATTTTTATCAGAGCACAAGTTATTCTTCCGCAAAATTCTGAGATTCAAAACATTCCGATAATCATAAAATTGTCTTTTATTTAGTCTTTTTTGGAAGCGGTATTGTTCCAAACAGTTTTTTGGATTGATATTACAGGCCGAATTTTTTGATATACAAATGTATTACATTATAAATAAAAATAAAGTTAGTTAAATACGCAGAAAAAAACTTTATCAACTCTATTGTATTTTGTCCTCAGTCACAAAATTCAACAATTCAAAAACAATAAAGAAATTTTAACTTTCTATTTCAAGACATTAAAGTATTATATCTCTCGCTGCTATTGATGCAAACGCTACGTAATAGACTTAATTAGTTTTACTATTTACGTCACTCAAAGCCTTTTTCGTTTGTGATTGCCCTTGGCTTGTTTTATGGAAAGAGAAAAGAAAAAAAGAGATACCAACAACAAATTCTAATTTGGTAATGCTAGATAAGGAAAAATTGTACAGCCGAGAGAATATCTTAATCTCTTTCGCTCAATGAAATCATAATTCCAACCGAATTGAGTAATTTACTTTGATTATCAGATTTCTTTTCCAAGCCGTTGTGTTACAATTATTCCTCTTGAGAAAATGAAGATTGAATATAATTCGATTATCAATTTCGACAAAAGAATTTCTTTTTCTCCTGCACCCGCAGCGTCAATGAAGTTTTCTCACCGTAAAAATGGCATCGGAGATTTAGAATAATTTAATATAAATAATTTTCCGTGGCGTTAGATCATACATTTCCATTGTTTCGGCTTTATCCTCATATTATTTGTTTAAAGCATGACATCTAGACTGCGTTAATAATTCTCGTATTTGACCCCGACGGCTCATTGGTTGTCGGTCGAACCAGTGGGTGAGCATTGATCAATCTTGTGCGTCAGACACATTGATAAAAACTCCGTACTCCGAATATAATAGTTAATTAAACACAGGTAATTATACATATGAATGGGAAGACTTTTCATTGGATCAACCAGAAATTAAGTAATTTGATCGCCGAACGCAATAACAAGTGTCCGATGAAGAGTCAAGATGATGGCCAATATTAGTAACTAGCCGAAGGAGTACTTGCTGCAACTGTGGAGATGACCGTAACGACGGGGAAAGTGTGTATATTGCCATTGCCATTTTACTCTCAATGACGAGATCTTGCATAGAATAACATCAATTTCAAATCATCTGCTTTACTGGGAATGGTATAAACTTTTTTCTTTTTTTCGCCCAACTTAAAATATACCCAATAATATTCGTTGATAGGGTTACGAACATTGTTTTCGACCATCACACCATTGACGTATTTAACCGTTTCGGTTATCTCTTGTTCAGTTACACACTTTATTAGCATTACATACGAGGTTTTATACGGCATAACCACTGATGTCTTAGTCGACCACCAATAAATTTGAATCTACATACCGCATGTAGATACATATATTTGATGCCTAAAAATATTCTCTATTTTTGGTATTATTTACATCTTCCGTCATTATTTATTATATACACAATTGTGTTCTCTTTAACTACCACTACCCTATTATAATTAGCCTGTTGTCCTCCATTATCAACCCTTAATCATTATATCCCAATAAGCTCACAAACACCACCAAAGCAAACAATGATCATATCAACTACACATCAAACATTGGACCAATCCACTCAACCCCTACTCAACATGGATAAAACTAGGCTGTGCCCGCTTAACGACTGCTCTCCCCTTATCACTCTGGGAATCAAATTCCAATAACTTACATTCTTTTTTTACTCCCTTCACTCATTTTCTTTCTTTAATCTTTGAGACCAACTCAACCCCTCACCACTCCTTTCTTTACAACTTAATTCCTACTTACCCTTATCGCACCACTCAACCCCGACTATTTGCTAAAAAAAATGAATCAAGAACAGCCTACCGTCGATTCAAACGATATTGGCAGCAATATCCGGAACAGCGACAAGTTCTTTACTGACGCTGGAGATATCGACAACAACATATATAACAGCAGTGAAGCTATCGATTCATTTTCTCCTTTTTCACACTCGGATAACATGTCCCCTACGAATGAAAACTCCGCAGCCAGCCCGTCACCGACAGAGGACGATTACAGCGACGATACAGTGCCCGAGACTCTACCACAACTAAACGATGTAGTCGAAAACAATAACGAGGTAGAAACTCTGAGTCAGCACCTGATCAAACATATTTGGAACAATAACTTTTCGGCTCCCGTTGGCCGAACTTTAGAAAACGGTGCAACTGTCCTAGATGTAGGCTGTGGGACCGGAGCTTGGCTGCTGGATATGGCAGAAACTTATTCCAAGTCTAAGTTTTATGGCGTTGATTTGCTTCACGCTTTTGGATCACAGATCCCAACCAACGTCACCTTCGTCAGAGGCGATATTCTTGCGGGATTACCATTTCCCGACAACAGCTTCGACTTTGTCACGCAACGATTCTTGTCGATGAGATTTTCTGACGATGAATGGAAGACGAAGGTGATAAATGAGTTGGTTCGAGTCACTAAACCAGGAGGATGGATCGAGTTGATGGAATGTGACATCGAACTTGTGAACTGTGGCAATGATACGAAGAGAATTATAGTAGCCTTGCAGCACTACTTGCATTCTAAACATGCTAACGAAAGATTGGCTCAGGAACTACACGAATACTTGGCAGCGAACGATGAGTTGCAACAGATTGGAAGAGAAACTAGAGATATAGAAAGTGGAGGATCGACCATAATTGCGCAGCAAGTGAGTATACTCCCCTTGATCAGTACATCATTAACGGATATTTTATGATCAGTATATTTATTTATCATTCATTCGTTTCTTTACTTTACTACTCTAAATAGGCCCGTAACGACTATGGTAATTTTCTCATGTCAATCCGCGATGACCTCGCCCAGTCCATGAGAATGAGCGACATCCATTATAGTGCGCTTTGGGAGGTGATCCATAATGAAATGAAGCGGCTGAACACGAAAAGACCTACGCATCGGGTTTTCGCGCAAAAGAAAGAATTGTAATTCTCAGACATCATTGTTACATCATTGTTCTTTCCACATAACTCCACTAGTTTCTCAGTTTCTTTCCAGCCAATTCTTTCGTGTCCATTTATTTGCAATGGTTACATAAGTAAGGCTCTTTCTATAGGGTTTATGGCATACAATAATTACGCTTTTTTATAATACGCATGGAAAACTTCTTCGGACTATGAGTTCAGTAATAATATTTATTATGGGAACAAGCTTATGGTTAAATTTTTTCTTTTCCGTTTAAGTAGCACAGATAAATAAAAAAAAATATGCTTAACACTAAATACAAATGAACATCCCGTGATTCTAATTTATCAATGACACGAATGGAATAAACTATGCATCAGCCCATGTTTTCACCGACATGTAAACGAATCGGGGGGCAGATTACGTGCCAAAAAAGCCCATTCGGAAAAATGTCGGCGTGTCAAAACGGATATTTTTGGGTTGGCATGTGCATAATTTAAATCGAAAAAAAGAGTAATAATAATAATACCAATGATAATATGTATCAGACTATATGATATTTGACGTCGTAATTGGTTCGTTTTAATCCGTTTCGAGGAAATTAATTGCATCGCTCAGAAACACTTATACAGGCGTATTACGCATCTGAAACCACTAATGCTGATGCAGAAGTTTGTTAACTAAATTAAGTGGTTTAGCGATAACGTAGGAGAATTATTTAAAGTACCTTTTTGCAATGCTAAGACCACAGTAACAGCGTCTATTTCGGGCTGTTAATGACGTAATTGCACAAAAAACAAACCATACGAATGATAGTCTTATATTACACAAGAAAACTTAATATTAACTGATTTGGACATCATGTGGATAACCCCATTCAAGCTTATCACTGATTAACAGGGTCATCGTATTACATATAAATGTCACCAATAAAAATTATACGATCCACATTACCCTTATCTGTCTCAACCAAAATTTTATTTCAATTTCTTCCCGTGCATCATTCCCATTTGCAGAACATGCAAGCACTGACTTTTCACTCTCCGTATAATATTATTTATACGTCTACTTCGCGTCCGACTCTTTGTTCGCCTACCGATGCAATAGTACGAATTCGTTTCGCGGGTCTGTGCGGATCAGATCTTCACATTTATCGGGGTACTGAACCCGGTCCCGATAGAGGTACTGTTATGGGACATGAGTTTGTGGGCGTTGTGGCCGAGGTTGGGAGCAAAGTCGTCGGGATACAGGTTGGGGACAGGGTTGGAGGCGCATTTACTACCTGTTGTGGAAAGGTAAGAAAAGGATGTATACTATTCCCGAAATGCTTGTTAGAATATTCAAATCATTCATCCATGTCTCGACGAAAAAGATATTTTTGTAATCATGTGCAACATGCTAATAAAATAGTGAACACGTGACTGAGACGCTTTGCATCAACTTCAAGTGTTACTACTGCACGCACTCCCTCTCCTCGCGCTGCATCAACGGTCTTCTTCTCGGCTATGTGTCATCCACTGTCGGTCTTCACGGCACTCAATGTGAATACGTCCTAATTCCTAATGCATCATCGTCATTATTCACCTGTCCACCATCGGTATCCGACATAGAAACTTTATTACTCGGAGATGTCTTGACCACAGGGTATCATTGTGCCTTGAATGGTATTGAGAACGTGCACGGGCTTCGAAAGGCACCGATGGATGAAGAGGCAGCACCGGCAAAGCAGAATAGAAAGGCTGATCTAGTCGTATTAATATTGGGATGCGGCCCGGTGGGATTGATGGCCGTTGTTAGCGCGTTGTATCTGGGTATCGGTAAAGTGATTGCAGCAGATGCGGTGGAAGAAAGGGTACAGATGGCTAGAACGTATGGAGCAGAAGGGGTGAGACCGGATGCGGTGCGTGAGGCTGTGAGCAACTGTACGGATGGGCGAGGAGCGGATGTTATCCTCGAGGTATGTGTGTAATCGGTAGAAGGAGAAGGATATGAGGGCGGAAAAAGATTAGTGGGGTGTGATCTGCTCGTATGTTCGCGAATTGACAACTTGACATAATTCACTATAGGCCGTGGGAAGTAATTCGGCATTGACATTAGCGCTTGAATTAGTTAGACCAGGAGGAGTAATATCAAGTGTCGGTGTCAATAACAGTGATACGTTTCCTTTCAGTCCAACGAGGTATTAACAATCTGTACTCTAATAACACAATTCCACTTACCATATGCTGTTGACGATCACCTGACAATAATTTTAATAACGTCTTACAGTGCATATAACAAGAACGTAACGTTCAAGACAGGTCGATGTCCAGTAATGAGTCTTCTTCCTCAGGTCATGCCTTTAGTCCTGAGCAAGAAATATGATCTGGAGAAAATAGTAACCCACCGGATGAAATTATCGGATGGAAATAAAGCTTATGAGATATTCGATAAGAAAACGGACGCGTGCATTAAAGTCGTATTTGAAGTTGGAGTGGAAGAATAATTTGGTATTTCTATAAAATAGATAGAGAACGCATTTTCAATTCTTTAACAATAATAAAGGATACTAGGACAACCAATGCATTTAGTTTACTGCACGTGGGATATTTACGGAATAAAGACAGTTTCTCTAAACGTGAATTCTAGAAGTTTGGTGATGATTCTGCCACAAACAAAAGGTAAAATTTGTTTGTTTAGTTCACGTAAGATCATATTGGCTACAATTTACCCACAATGAAGGAGTCTATTATAATCCGTTCGAGCGTTTTCATTGGTTTAAAGGATATTTATTACCAGTCGCCATTCTTGTGTACGCAATAGTGGAAATACATAGCAATATTATCCACACGGTCTAGGTGATGGTTGGTCATATGGTCATAAAACTGACCGTATTCACTAATTGAACCACAGTGGATACCAAGCTGCCTAAAGGTTAGTCACACATGTATGACAGGCAGATTACAAGCGATATACCGATTCGCAAATAATCATACGTCACGTTGGCCGTTATTATATAAAATGTGTTTGCAAAGGCTTGATAGTAAGTCTACATGCCGTCCGCATGATACCGATTAGTCCTACCATTCCTATAAAAGAAAAGAATTAAAAATGTATCTGGTATGTATCTATAAGGCCATTTTCGGAATTCAAGTAATAATAGGCAACATACTCTGATTAAACCATCCACGGCAAATTTTTTTTCATTTCAAAATGAGATGTTAAATCACGTACAACTCACTCATTAACAAGACTGGGACACAGCAAAGAGAAATCAAGCTTCGTTCTGCTGGTAAAACAGACGCCTAGATTAAAATCCCACAAGGATTATTCAAAATTATTCCACCGATTGAACATTCATTGTACGGTAAATATAAATATTGTTATTCATACGATAGATATATTTATTATTGATATTATTACTGCGCTACACGCGTTCGAAAATTTCTTTACTTACAAAAATTTACACTGCGAACATTTGGTAGAATGAAACTTGTACAGTGCAACCCGTCCTCTATATACCCGTTTTACTATAACGAGGGTTTTTACATGTAAATATTCTTTTATATAGAGGCCATCAATAATTAAATTGTTACTAACGATTGAGACAAATTTCATCATACTATTATAAAATATTTCCTCTTTATCCCGGTCGAACGTAAAGAACAGCAGCGTCCGTGAGACTCGGAAAAAGACTCCATTTCGAGGCAACTCTTAAAACGGTACTCGAATTTATCGAACAAACAGCCCAGATAAATTCATTGCACGAGAATTTCATAATAGAATGATTGCCCTTATATGTACTAGTTGTATCACCCTCTTTTCATATCTCATTATTATGGATGGTATAAAGCGGTTCACTATAGGTCGCCGCCAACAATATACTTCAAAGATGAACTGTTCGAGGTTTCCACTTGAAAAAGTAATTCAAAATACATCATTAATGCCAGGGATTGTTGATAACCCAGCAATTGAAAACTTGATTCAATCGTCGTTATCAAATGATAATGGAAGACTTGCATGGATTCCTTGCTCGCAATTTATCAATATAACACCAAGTCAAACCGACAACATCCGTTACGCTATCTGCAAGCAAACCGGTCAGGTTTATGCGATGCTGGTACCCATCGGAAACAGCAAAGAATGCACGCCGATGCTAGTGAACGAATTTGCTAGAATATACTCACTTCCAACACACAAGTACAACAATGACGACAGTAACCTCAGAAGATACAAAAAGTGGCTTGACGGTCGCAACAGCATGATAGGAGGATTCACAAAGTACGATGATAACTATTACATGGTCGCCGTTAAACGCTTTCATCAGTGTTACTCTCGATATGGATTCTGCCCCGCATGTGGAATACTTCGATGTAGTCCCGTGTGGTGCGTATGTGGACATAAGGAATTATCCGATGGATGGACTAGCAACAACAAGCAACTTGATGAGTTTATTAAGAAATCTCAATTACAAGCAAACTCACCAAATGAGCACTATTTGGAATGGATTCCATTCGATTGTATTGGTTTTGGGGGGGTTTATGTATACTTATTTGGTCTACCTGCCTATGATCATCTTAAATTAACTCAGCTTGAAATAACGGATGAGACGGATCATTCGTATTATGACGAGGTGAATATTCAAGTACGAATATGTTTATTGATTGTTTAGATGAATGTTGATTTTAATTTCCAACTAGTTATGCGATGAACATCCAGATATTTGTGCCGCAAACGCTTGGAATATTATCGGATTCACGTACGATTTTACTATGCGAAAGTATTGTCTAGTGAAATCGGAAAATGGATTATGTCTGGCATGCACACATCAATTAGAACCTCTGATAAATGCATTCTGTCCCGGATGTAGATCACCAAGACCTCTTAATTGGACTACGGGCAACGAATCTTTGGATTCGTTCATAATGGAGTCATGGAATAACGTGCAACTTACATATGATGCTCATATACAATGGATTGAATACTCTCAGTTGACAAACTTGCGAGAAATGACCTCATTACGCCATGGATGCACACTCATAGCAGAATGGTTAGAACCGACGACAAATGAATTGATACGAGCGACGCTCAAGCAGATAGGCGATACTCGGTCACTTGATTTTCACCGGGTAAATTATTTCACGTGTAAAAATGATTCAAATTAAAATAGTATTTGTGATTTGTGATGATTGTTGTAACGACTGTATTTTTTTTTTGTGTTTGCTTAAACAGCTAATTAAGGAATACCCGACGATATTAACCCCCGATAACGTTTGGGTAATTGGAATCACTCAAGAGCCATCTACGGGAGGCTATTATTTAGTTTTCTACCATGATATACGCCCGATATTGAACAAAGCTATGCAATATTACTATTACGGAAATGCACGGTATATTCCGTATGACAATTTTTATGAACTCAAAGAGATTGGATCCGGTGGTTATAGAACAGTTTATACCGCCAAGTGTAAACATAATTCAGTAACAGTTGTACTCAAACGATTTAAGGAGTTTGATCAGACGTCGGAATTATTTATTAATGAGGTAAAATATAAAAGCAATTTTTGATATTATCAACTAATATGATATTAATATTTAATCTGACCTGGTATTTTTTTTATCTAATAGTTTAGAAATCATGCCAAATGTTCGCGTAGGGCATTCATTCAGGTTTTTGGGGTCACACAATTACCAGAAACAAAAGAGTATATAATTGTCATGGATTATGCTAACAATGGCAGTCTTTTGTCTTATTTGGATAAAAATATTAACAAATTGACATGGATAATGAAACTACAGTGTTTGTATGGTATTTCAGATATTTTACATACTATTCATCAGTTGGAATTAGTGCATTGTGATCTTCATGGTGGAAACATACTTATGCATACTGAAACTGAGTCTTGGACAGAAGATTTTCACTTAAGTGATCCAATTACATGTGATCTTAATCATTCTCGATCAGTGAATTCACATCAGTCAACTATTCAAGGTGCTTTATCCTTTATTGCACCAGAAGTTTTTCATACTCAAAAGTTTACAAAAAAATCAGACATATATTCTTTTGGTCTTATTATGTATTTAATGGCTACTGGGGAACCACCTTTTAGAGACAGACAGTTTGATAAAGATCTATTATGTGATATTGTGAGTGGACTACAGCCAACAATGCCTGATTCAGCACCAGAGGAATACAAGAAACTTGCTAGGTGGTGTTGTGATGCTGATCCTAACAAACGCCCAAGTGCATGGACACTTCAAAATGACATTGACAGGCTTATCAGAGAAGTGCATGGGGATAGGTCTGAAAGCAACATATGGGATATCATCTATCATAATGATGTTAAACCTTTATCACATCTCAATATCAAGGAGGAGTAAATACTCTAGCACTAATACTAATACTAATAGTAATATTAGTTATAGTAGGTGCTTAAACAGGGAATGATAAAAATATAATATAGTCAATTTACAATGTTAACACTCTAAATTAGTGACTCAAACTCCTTTTGAATAAACTTGTAATCTTAATCTAGAGTTAGAGTTTTGTTTCTTTTTATTATTATTATATTTATGTTTCCACTTACAGCTATCACAACATTGGCTCAATATTAGACATGTTGGCTCAGAGCTCTACCAATGTTAATAAATTAAGTCTTCATAAAAAGATATCTTTTGTAGTTATGAATTTTGGATGCTAATTAATTTTGATACTGAGCTGATTTTGTAACTCATCAAAAGGTTTATTCAACGTTTGGTTTATTAATATCCAAGAGAACAATCAAGATATTGAGTTAAAGACTCCTCCAAAATACGTAATTGGTTATCAACCTTCTGCAATATAACATAAATACTAGAGTATTTACTCATTTATTAAAGATATATTATCTGCCTTTCTACCGGGAATATCTAGATCAAGAAAAATTACTTATGAAATTTACCAAGAAGAACGGAAAATTATAATTAATAAACGAGCATTGACACCAGCATATGATGAGCTAAGGAAAAAACGAAAGATAGAAGAAACATAAATATCTGTTCTTTATTATTGTTAAAATTATCGATAACCGGGACAAATTTCCATAATTCTTTGATGCTGTTCGAGTAAGAATAGCAATAAATACGATAATTGATTCGCTGTGCCCAAGTACTAAATCTGACACAATTCATGACCAGCAAAACCTGTATCGTTTTAGAAACAATGGGTAAGTATTAAAGGTAATAAAAAGGAAACACTTAGAATAAAACATTATGTTTGATCGGCAAATTAACTGTTTCAAGTCTATGGTTATGATGTACGTGTATTTTTAATGAATGCTTATAATCTTGAAATTGTTATAAAACCAGCACCATTTTACCCAGATTTTCGCTTAAAAAACTTACAATCGACCGAGTTGCAACCGCATTATCGAAAGCATAATTTTTATTATCTACAAAAATCAAATAACAATACCACTCAAAATGTTCACCTTCGCTATTGAAATCTTCTGCGAGCTACTGAAGCGCTTAAAAAATGGGTAGATAAAGAAAAGGAGAAGGGAAATGAAGATGTTAATAGCATGTATAGCATGTTTAATGAATATATAGCATAGATTTCACTAGAGCGACCAAAGTATAGGGGTACTCATCAATGGCTTTGGGTCCGAGTATTTCCTCCCATGCAATCGCTCTAGTGAATCTTCAAATATATCTACGTTGATTTTTAAAGAATAATAAAGCCAAGATGACAAAATATGTGTCAATTATTGTAAATATCCTGATTATGTTAATCCTTTGAATCTTTAAACCACAATTGTCCCAATTTTAATGAAAACGTGATGTCTCGTGAACATTGTGGAAAGGTCTAGAAAGTTCCTAATAATACGTCATTGGTTAATATTAAGCGAGAATGTCTGGTTGTCTGTCACCACAGCTAATTGCAGCTCTTCAGTACCCAGGTAAGCCCACTTTTGTGAGATTCGATTCAGCTTCATCGGTAGTACTAGAAGCTCTTCCTTTCTCCAGCATACTGGAATCGAGCGCCGTCCAAATGGGGAGGCGTCTCAGACTGGGACATATTTATCATGAAAGAAGTACCAGGAATAAACAGACATACCGCTCATGCTACGCTTGCGGCTGAACTGAAACTTCTTGAGTGCGAACTACCAAAATCCAGCGTTGCTTATCGGCAAACGCTTACTATGAAAAGTTGCCTCAAAGTATGTAATTTCTTTTCATTCCTATGTTGAAACTTTCTACCATGATGATTGTCAAGACGTCCTGCGGCGACTGTCGAGCGACTTTGTCGCACATGGCAAGCCACTGTTTGCCGGAAGTGGAGGAAGTGCAACTGTACGGTCGGCATTCATTATGGTCGGAGGGTGCAAATCATACCCCTGCGGCGACTGTCGAGCGACTTTGTCGCACATGGCAAGCCACTGTTTTCCAGAAGTGGGGGAAGTGCAACTGTACGATGGTTTGCACGATCAGCATATAGCTACGTAGTATACGTAGTATTCACATTTTGTCAACTTACGTTTATTAACATTTTATCAAAAATGAGGACTGCAAAAAAGACCCGGCAAACACCAAGTTATGGGAAACGCAAATGAACGCTTTAACGGATGCTGCAAACAGAAGCAGAATAGACTTGGTAATCATGTGCAACTTTTCCAGGACTCTTGAGATTTCATTCTAACGTTGTTCAAAAAATCAGAGCAACCTTGAAAGTGCGGCGTTTAACACTGGATCGGTGCTCGCTATTGAAAATTTTCGGGCAAGAGCTGCGTACGTAATGTGCCTGTAGTTAACCATATCGAATCGGTCTCTAAGTTTCCATAATAATTCTATAAGAACAACAGTTGTTCAAATTAGCGTTAAGAGATGACCTTGGTTAAAAGTAAAGAAGTAATTTAAATTCATAAGTAAATTTTTCTTGATCTAGATATTCTTGGAGAGTTTAGAGTTTTGTATCATTGATTTTAAAAACGTATGGAGCAATTTTTCTCCTTGTTCTTTTTTTTAGAATGCTTCTAATGGTGCTGTAATTGTTTGGTTCCATAATGAATTTGATGTAAATTAGTACTATGTACAGTATATCACAATAATCTAAATCGCGTATCAGTATTTCCTGATAATATTGCTGCTTGTCCTTTGTGTTATATGTTAGGGATTTCCATTCATTACATTGTTTTAAAGAAAGTTGGCAAACTTACATGGGGCATGCTGCAATAAAACCAGACAAAGTGAACATTTTGTTATGTGACAAAATGTGATGATTACATGGGATAGACTACAACAAAACCAGACAAAGTGAACATTTTATAAATGAGGGACTGATTATGATATGGCTGTAAAATTGACCAGGGTGACTGATGACGTTTTGAAAAGTAATAATGGTGTTCATTCATAACTTAATTTTAATGCTCACTTTATCATACCAGAAGGTGAGGAATATAAACCATAACAGGGTTAATAATAATTTGTTTTCCTCTTTTAACTGCTTGATTTTTTTTCCAACTCTTATCTTAAATTTACTGTATTTATATTTTCCTTGTGTTTTTTCTAATTTTCCTTTCTTTCTTGGTTCATCATGTGTTGCTGTTGATGCTCGTTTATTAGTTATGATTTTCCGTTCTTTTGGTAAATTTCATAAGTAATCTTTTCTTGATCCAGATATTCCTGGAGAGTTTGGGTATTGTTGATTTAAAAATGTAAGAGGCAATGTTTTCTCCTTGAGTTTTCTTAGGATGCTTCTAATGGTACTGTAATTTCTCGAGTTCCCATAATGGATCTAATGTAAATTAGTTTTGTATTAATATTTTTATTATATGAAGGTAATCCTGTATTAAACCTGTTATGGTTTATATTCATCACATTCTGGTATAATAAAGTGAAAATTAAAGTTAAAAAGTCCACAAGTTATGAATGAGCACCGTTATTACTTTTCAAAACGTCATCAGTCATACTGGTCAATTTTACAGTCACATCACAATCAGCCTCTCATTTATGTCACATAATAGAATGTTCACTTTGTCTGGTTTTGTTGTAGCATGCCCTGTATACCCTATTATATTGTTAAGTAACATGATAACCTATATATTCAACAAGAAATGATTGATATACTGTATACATGTCGCCTATTACTATTACTACACAGTCAACTCCGAACTCCGTTTAATATTAACCGAAGGACTAACTACTAAGTAAAATATCGCTAAACCGAAGGTAAATTCTAAAACATCTATATTAAATTTACCCCGATAAATCGAATTTACTAAGTTAAACCGAATTTCTTAGCATTTCCCACTTCGGTTTAACGGGTTCACTATTACTATTATTAGTTTCGTATTCATATTTTGTATAGAGGTAATCCTAATATTAATATAAACCCTGTTATGATTTATATTCATCACATTCTGGTATGAAAATTAAAATTAACAAGTTCATAATAATAAGTTATAAATGAGCACCATTTATCACTTTTCAAAACGTCATTAGTATTAGTCACACTGGTCAATTTTACAGCCACATCATAATAATAATCAGCCTTTCATTAATAAAATGTTCACTTTGGTTTTGTTGAAGCATGCCCCGTACGATATTGGCAGATATTTCTACGCAATAAAAAGTCGTTTACCAAAAAAGTTAGTGTTTCGTTGTCTTTATTTTTTGTTATCTGTATGATTATGCTAGTTCGTTATAATTCATCCAATTAGTGTTATTCACACTAATCAGCATGCTGTACAATGTAAACCTCGACGATTTGGAAAATAGATATATTACTATATACTATCATTACTTTTAAACATTAAGCGCTTAGAAACAATTCCTCTCAAATTCGCTTCAAGGTAATGCCTTACTAATATACAGTCGACACCCCTTTATAAGCACATCATATAAAACCGTCTTTATAAGCACACCATGTTTGAGACAAATTACTATTTCATAACCACTTTATGAGCACATATTTAACACTTGCTAAGGACAGGGTTGCATGTCTCTAATATACTCTGACCGACTGATACTGACGTCTGCAACGAAAGTGTTGCTATTACTATCGCAAGCGACGGAATGATCCGAAAACTAAAGATTGATAAAATTCGGCGGAAAAATACGAAAGCCAGTAAAAAATAAAGTAGGATGAACCGTTCCAGTCTTCAATGGAACGAATATACAAGTATAGTATGGTTCACATTATTACTAATGTTGCATATAATATGTATCTCGCCTCGTTCAGCACCAATGTGCCCTCTGCTGTTACGATAGTGAAACTGTAGTAATAATAATGGGGAAGATCCTCTAGAAAGAAACCATCGATCACTCACGGACCATTTAATGTTCGATTCCGCATTTTCATGATGGCCTGCTCCACTAATATTGCTCTCTGATGCGCAACAAAGCATTCTCACATGGCACTCGGCTGTTGGCGTCCTATATTTGGGGATTAAATACTATGATTAGCGTTTCGTACATTTTGAAGGTGCATTTCGGGAAAAACGGGGATGATAATAAAAGGTTTTCTCTCACCTTCCGGTTAGAATGATATGCACTCGATATAATATACAAGTCCCTTTTTCAATGGCGTTGAATTGCAGTGTAATACTCTAGCCCTATTACTATGCGAACAATACCGCTTTTCACTATACGAATACAATCTAATACATGTATCAATTGTAATTGCCTGCCTGTTCACATGTGATGTGTATCACACAGATCCATTTGCAAAAGGACTATTCTCAAACGACGCATTTCTGTGGGGCAATCTGCATGTGAATGAAAAAAGAAGCATGGGAGAGGCAAAAAACAGTGGAGAAGTTCGAATGCAGCAGATGTGTAACGCAGTATCATACAAAGGTCTATTGAGATTTGGGTATATGCTATGTTTGAGTCGTTTTGCAGTGACTGTTAACGAGAATTCAAAGATTATATCGTTGAAAAAAAAAACCAAGTGTATAGCGAGGATACGAATTATTTAGTTATTTGCTAGTCTGTGAGGATATTTATAGCGATGCATATTAGCAACGCCAATATATTCTTATTTGCAAGACTATCTCCCATAGAGTCTCGTTGGTATGCACGCGGCTGATCATTATTTTTATCTCACATGTCTTCTACTCCGTCATTTATGCACTTTATGCACTGTATACACCCCACATCGATAGTCATCAACCACCCCCTCATTCGATATGTGACTGCACATCGATATATATCGATCCCATCATACTCGAACGCTTACGCAATCACACTGCATATTTAACGCTCTTTATCAAAGAAATCATATTTTATGTTGATAAAGTAGTCTGTGAGTGGGGATGACTATGCGAATCCTTCATGTACACTGCCGCAATGCGTCTTTGTCGGTGAGCTTAGGTTGCATTAATATCCAATTTTGAACATCTCTTTGCGCATTAGGTGCATATATTAAGGGATTGGGTCATGAGACGTTTACCGAAATCGACAAAGAGTGGAGGGCAGAGGGAGGGAACTCTAAAGTGATTTTTCGTCTGGAAATAAACTGTTGAAAAAAAAAATACTAAAACAAAAAAAAACTTTTTTTTCCCTTGTTTGCTGTATCTCACATTTATTAGTTAAAAGCCTTTGCTTCCCCCGGACCCGAATATTTGGAATAGTATCAGGTTTAGATTAGTGTCTAAACAAGGAAGAAATAATTAAAGTATTTTGACTATTTCGATATTTACCCCCCCCCCCCCCCCTCCCCCTTCCCCACCTCTTTCTATGAGTGATACAAATTGTGATCACTTTCCCCGAGTGTTTTTGGAATATATAGACCCCCCTGAACCCTTCAACCCCGGGAACGATCAAGTCATGTCTTAGTCATTGAGCACTCTCAGTTACGTGACAGAGAGCCCAACTAATCTGACTCGGTATCTAAAAAAATAAAAAATAAAAAAAAAATAGACGATATTAGACAACAATAGACGATAAATTATGCGATTTAGACGGTTTTCAACTGATTCAACACAAAGCCGACGAAGCCTCAATCGTCACTCGCGACTGGTTCGCAGGATGCTCTTTGTTGCTCGACAAAAAGTGATGATTTACGTGGCCGAAATTGTTAACTCTTGGACCTAAGCAATCGGTCCCAAAAGTCAGTATGTGTGTTTGTAGATAAGAAAATCGTATTATCGGTGAGCGTAATAGATATTAAAAAGACAAAATGAATGAGAGTGTGGGCGCAATCACTATTAGATTTGTTTTAATGAGGTGACTTGGCCTTTACTCAGCATGTCTTCTAATCGCATGTCATCTCTTATGTAGTTCCTCAAGACGCTTACTTCGGTCCACAATCGTATCATGAACGGCCCATTTTCGACGACACAATGAAATGATTTGATTTTACGTTGATTTTCTTTTTCATTTCCTATTTTTTTTTCTCTCTCTGTTTCCATTTTACACTTTTTCTTTTGATTTTGGTTTACCTTTTATTTGCGTTTGGTTTCTATTCTTCACCCTTTTATTTTTTTGATAGATTATCCACCATTTGTTTTTGATTAGATTTTCACAGAATCCCACATTCTCGTTTTGTTTTTTTTTTTAAGAATTATGCCTTAAGATATCACCTCACCATACAATTAAGATGACTTACCAATACATCCAAATATGCTGTTACAAATAAAGTTTCCGAATATCCCAAAGAAACCTTCTTTGATGCATTTGATGCAACATAAACATTGATTGTTATTATCATAGCTAAATTCGGTCTTCCATGTTTGCTTTTCGCTAAGCAGACTGCTCACAATCACAAACATGTATCCTACCCCTTTACTAATAACCCCTTTACTCTGGTTCAATATTGTGTCGTCATATGATTGAACTTATTAAATTTACACATTACGTCATAATGCGTGCTATTTTGCAAAATTTAATATCTATTATTGTTACAAATCAATACAGATCGTTTTTCTCTGTTATAATTTAAATTATCACTCAAATGACTCGATGGCCTAAAATGCTGTTCAAAATACGATACCCGCGTTTTCTATTTCACTAAAATTATTCCTGAAGATGTTTTTATTATACAAGTAAATACTTAATAAATAAACAGTTCAAATGGAAATCCAACGTCACATTTGTGAAATAAAGGACACGTTTGCATATGCCAATCTTTCCACTTTCACAATTTATGGCAATATGTCGGGCGGAGAGAATGACGGATAACCTATATTACTGGGAACCTTCAAGACGTCTGGCTTAAAGTAGAACGAGAAACTTATCCTACATCTACAACTGGGCTACCGGGAAAAACTTTATTTTCAGATACGACTGTTCTAGCTTCTAAACGTTCAAACTCATGTCAATATTCCTTTGCATGTTCGTGTAGGCAAATGTTCATTATTATGGGAGAGAAAATTGGCTGTCTAATAGAACAGCGATCCGAAACATACAAGCTATTGTTTAGCCGAGTTACAGCAATTTTTCAAGATAACGTTTTTCAAGTTTTGACTACTACTGAACACTAGTAGCGCTAACTTGCACCCGATTGAAAACTTGTTAAATGTAACGAAGCAGTGACTAAAGTTGATTCGAAAGTTTGAGTCTTATATATTGAACATTGAACACATTAAATTGACTTTACTATAAACGCTGTCTGCTGACACCAACTTGTATAATTTAGGCAAATCTCTAGTAGATAAGAGTTTAATAGTATTCATTACTCCTTAGATGTGATAACGGTTTACATAATTATTGTACAATAGATGATATCCTATATGTTGCTTTATTGCTTGCTGATAATATATATTTAAGTATGCGTGCCGTTGAGCGTTTATCGGAATAAAAGTCCAGCAAGTAGGTTGTATTTATAAGAATTTAGTTATAATAATAAGATATTTTAATGCTTCACAACATGACTTGACAAATTTCTTATATTCTTCTGATACTGAATCAGCCATTGTTGACTGTAGTCCACTCACTCACAATATCATATAATAGACCTCTATCAAATTCTCTGTCTCTAGAAGGTGGCCACTAAATACATATCCATGTGATAAATATAATATAAAACACTTGTAATATTCCTCAAATGCTGTAATTTATTCTCTACATCAACCTGCTAAGATTTTGATCAAATAACTACAATCATGTAATCTTTTGCTTCTGGCTCTTTGGGACATTATTACTATAAATTTGAAGAAATTATGTTCGACTTTGCAATGCACGTAGTATTGTTCTGAATTATTAAATAAAATAATAGAGTAAGATTAAAATATCGCGTTCTTAGTTGACAGTATCAAAAGACTGCTTATCTCGTCAATAATAATTTCAGCGTAATCAGATTCTTAAATCGTTGAGTTCTATAATTCAATTCCCTTAATCTCATTAATGTCAGTATACTGCATATACGCTAAGCTGTGTAAATATTAGACGTAGAAAGCTAGATAATATTTTTCCGTATCCAAACTTATCATCCTCGGGCATTCTTTAATTTACGTATTCGAGTAAAAAGCCAATCGTTACAACAATTATTAAAAAACACAAATACTACTTGAATTATTTTTTATTACTTATCTGTTTGAGTGTCACTCGTTTGCCGTCGCTATACCATGGAATAATAAGGTCATTTCTCGTACGCTTTTAATAGAGCACGCTCTACCCGTTGTACTATGTGCAGGCATTATATTCAATCATCAATCAGTCTACGACTTTATAATGAATGAACCCAAATGCTCGCCTTAAGAGGTCTTGTTGATTTACATCGAGACAGAGTGCATATATTAATATCGGAGGATCTAAAAACTTTATGTAAATTCGATGGTAACCCGATAGGTTTATATTAATCTTTAGTTAATGTCACTAACCATGTAGTTGAGACATACCTGGCTTATCGCCTCGTTCTTTCTACTTGGCAATTAAGAGTGAAAAAAGGTTACAGATTTCTGCTAAAAACAATTATTTCTATTAATAAGTTTCATCAAAAAATGATTTTTTCTACTATGATAGAACACTTGACAACCACAGAGTGGGATATTGTAAGTGTTGAAAACGTATAATCGGGAGGTATTCATTTCGCCGACGATCATTTTCACCGACAAAATTTCCCCAACATTCGAAGTTATCCTTTTTTGGTAGCCTTTGTCGGTAAAATAAACCGGACCCATCTTTTCTGCCGAAAAGCATATTTCAGTTGTGGGGATAACAACTCATACTAGCTGTAATATTTACCGTTTTCCCTGGCTATTCAACAATTTGTCTACTTCTATTTTAGATAATTGACAATCACCTGTTCAAACACACACTTTAATGACACAAAAAACGGAAATCGATTTGCCATTACATCTTTTTAGAAAAATCAATGTAACGATTAGATTCTGCTGTTGTCTGAGACTTGGAAGGAGGTTGTGCTATGTCTGAGTTTGAGATCAACCCGCCCAGACGTTCAGTTTAGAAGTGAGACAATTACCCAACAGAGTTACACAAACATGTAACTTTTATATCATACTTTGTAACAAGGTTTCAGGTATGGTAGTAGTGATAAAAAAGTTTTTCAATATTAAAATAAAAAACAATTGTATCACGATGCATCTGTGTAACTTCACTTGAGGCCTTTCTCGGTTTCGGACCGAGACAAATCAAGTATTAAACTGAGCTCGGGGTTTAAATTGATGCAAAAACTTTTATCGGCATAACTGATAATATAAGCATTCAAAGGACACGATATAATCCGTAATTAATTGGCTCAGAGATATCCAACCAACCCTTACGATAGGTAAATGACAAAAGGTTTTATTCACCTATTGTAGTTATTTCTCTAACGCAGCTGTATGTAATTAAAGCGGTAGTTGATTTCTTGTCCTAATATTTAATATCTTTGTTAGCGAACGACATATTTACTTTTTGTGAACCAACCGGACTTTCCGACGAGTAAGATGTAGGCAACTCCGCATACACGCACGCTAGCGTAACCACGAGAGCGGCGTCTAACAAAGAAACAGAAAACCCGACTGTTCTGTGTTATTTGTTTGCTTAGACCATGCGACCAATTGACGTCAGTTTTCGTAGATTGAGAATTTCAGTCGCAGTATTGTTTATTATTACGCGTGGCAGCATAGATTATGCACAATGCACGAATTTAATGCACATTCGCTAACTTACACCACTTTTTCATAGTGGCTACCTTTTTGATGTTTATTTGATTTCTTCATTTAGAATGAATTAGCCATGCTCAAATTGCCGAGAACACAAAAACGCATATTTGTTAAATTAAATCGCTCGTTATATTAGCGGAAACTTGAACGTTGCATCCCCATTGTTTTGAATTTTCAATTTGCTAATGACAGTCCTGTCAGTTTTTACTAATTATAGATTTACAAGACAATAGCAATTTTAAGGTTATTTTAATTATGACCGCTGTGAAAGCTCATTTTGTGAAACCAATTTTAATTCGAGTAACATTGATGCTATAAAGGGAAGGTATAAAAAATTTATCACTTTTCAGGACGACAGGGGTAGTCTAAAACGTTAAAGAGGATAACTGAATTTAGGCTCATCCCTGGCCTACCAGAGCCATGGTCGGAATCCAATTGAAAATTTCTAGGATCAATCAGATGAAGCGTCGAACCACATGGGCAAAAAAGTCTGCGAAGATCTGTTTGTTTGAAGGGGGAGGGAGAGTCAAAAGTACATGACTGTCGAACGATACTTGCTGTTAATGATTTGCTTCACAAACGACCGAGACATTAAAAAAAATGAAAGAAAAAGAAAAACACCACGAAAGTTACAGACGGTTTTTGTGTCGATCAGACAATGCACGCTTAATTCTGTGTACGAATGCCTTAACGCTAAGAAATGACTAATTGGGAAAGTTGCATTCCTAATTTGAAAAGTGTACAGACAGGGATTATAACATTATAACGGAAAGAGTAAAAACCAGTAAAGACATGGCTATAAACCTAGAAAAAAATTTATTTTTTTGAAAAAAGACACATTTGCTCTCCAACGAAATAATAATATGGTCAATATCTTATTACTTTGGTTTCCCGTTTGCGTTTATTTAAACATATTCTCAAGATTACTTTTTTTTATACAAGTATATCTGTCTTATCATGCATAAACCGGCCCTTCTTATTACAATCCCAAGTAAACTTATAATATATAACGTAACGTTATATACGATTGTGATTTTGTTTGTCATTAAACTATTTTATATCATTATTTGCGAAATACAACACAGCGGCTAACAGAAAAAAGTATATCGAAGCTAATCTAAACGAAAAGCATAAAATGCTATATACATATACGTACTCGTATGATAATACGATTTACATTACGGACGATGAAGCGCATATGTATGTAAAATGTATATGTATATTTATGTATATTTGTATACAATATGTTCATACGATATTTATTATTTATAATATATCACGAAAGCATAAATGTTTGTTGAAAAAGCTCATTTTCATCACCCCCTATCTCAATATTATACATGGGATCATCCCAACTAGCGATGGATTGACGGTATGAAGAAACATCCGTCTGTTCATTAACATTATTAGAAGGGCTAGACGGACTGTTCACCCAAACTGACATGGACGGAGATACATCCAGCACCGGCTCAGTCGGAGTGGTTTGCTGACTGGTCAATTCTTCATCAGACGATGATTGACCAATAGGATTTATATTCCAAAAATAGCTGGTATCTTCGGATATGTCGTTAACGTATTGGGCCTCTGGAGATAGAGAGATGGAGGGAGGGTGAAGATAAGGTGGCTGGTCAAGAGTATTCGTATACAGCCACCATTCCGATGGCATACAAGCAAACGGATCATAAATGAATTGACTATTATTCTGTTGCTGCTGCGGTTGTTGCTGTTGTTGCTGCGGTTGCTGCGGTTGCTGTTGTTGCTGCTGTTGTTGCTGTTGTTGCTGTTGCTGTTGAAAATGAGCTGGTTCGATTGTATTTTCAACAATCTTTTTTTGGGCAGCATTTGTTTGCGAGTCTTCCTTTATGCGACCTGTGAACCGATTCGACCCGCGTTGCTTGCGACGAGCAAAGGATAACGACGTACGACGTGCATTCATCAGAGCATTCCGTGCCTCCGTGGCAATGCGCCAGTACTCATCCTTAACGTATTTCGGTTCATTTTGCCAAGATATACTAGCCATAGAGCTGACTTCGGTCATTTTAAACGTGCAGTCTTTTGCTTTTAATTCACGAACAAACAATCTTCGATATATCAGAAATGCGTTTGGTGATCTTGCTGGCACCTCGCCATCCTTTTTTATGTTGATCAAATCCTCTACTTTGACTGGCGGAGGAAATGGGACGGTTATGGGCTGTTGAGGCACAGAATTTTCGGTGGCGGCAGACTGTGAGCCAGAGTGAAAGATAGTTGGTTCGCACATTGAGACACCTGTGACAATTGATAGGTGGATTGACTTGGAGATTAAAAACGTACGACGTTTAGATGTTGTTTACTAAGAAGGAATGGATTTGTTTTCGTTCCTTGCGTTAGAGAAAAAATCGGGAAAGAGGGGGAAGGAGGTGTCTTTATGCGAAAAACGTCCACCGCAATGAACAGTGATTTTGTTGATCGCGAACCTTTTATATTTATAAGTTGGTCATAAGCGACGTATTTCTTACAATGGAAAGTAAATATAATGTTTCATGGTGACATAAAAGATAGACTACTCGGTTGCAAAGCCGCATCCCAATTGATAATTCGTACGCCGCGAAGCATTTTGTCAGCGTACCCAATGCAGTTCACAAGATTTAGATAGAATTTAAGACTTGCTTGCATTCGATTGGGTATGACATAAAATGGCGCCAGTCCCTCATTCATCGAAATAAATGAACTAACATTATTTCGGCTATCAATGATTTCTCTGTTCATTCAATTGAATTCTCATTCTTTATTTGTTCGGGTTGACTAATTGAGCAAGTAAAAGATGTTCGAGTGGCCAATAAGATTCCGGCTGATATCGAAATTTACAATTTGCCGCATAATTGTTTTACTATACGCTTCTTCTTCTTCTTCTTCTTCATTTCTTCATGAATTGCAACAACGAAATCATTGTCTCTACAAGTTATCAAACGCACAAACATTATGCTCGAAGCATTGTATATTCGTAAATATTGTTACACAGTTTCAGTTGTAGATGTTTTCCTCTAACGTTAAGATTCGTTTACCACAAACGGATGGAGAACGTCTTGGAGTTTCGTACGAATGGTAGGGTTATTACTAACCGTACAGCGATCTTTGTGTAAATCCCCCAACCTACAATTTGTTGGGAGGAGGGGGGTTTTTGCAGATGGTGATGAGAATTAACAAACAATGCAGTGTTACCAAATAGGGTAATTAATATGAACCGTTATTGTTACATTTGCCCGTTGATCTAACCAAAGTTGTTTATTGATACACTAAAACTAATGAGCGAGCACTAGGCATAATCTTGGAACTTGAGAAAACAGTATTGTTGACGACGGCGTCGTCGCAAGCGTTTGAGACAGAGTGAATTCTACGCTTTGCAAAAGCCTAACTACCAAAGTAGTAACATCAATAAAGAAGCCTTTTGGTATAAATTAGTCTTGTTACCTCTTATGTGAACAGTCATAAATCATCATACAGCACAACGCTTGCCTTGGTAAGCGAAACCACTGGTTTGTTACAGACAGGCATAATATTAAGCATGTTCAAATAGATTTATGCTTTGTTTGCTTGAACTAGAAAGCGCAATTTCTTCCGTTCATAAGCAGGGCGGCATTTTAGATTCCGTCAATAGCGATTAGAAGGTGACTGTGCCAGAACCAATAAACTAGCATTACCCAAACTCGATTTTGATGCGAATGCGAATGCTATGCTATGCCAACATCGTTTTTCCCATGTTGCCCAAATCCGATACAGTTTAATTGATGTTGTCGCACTTCAAAGCCAGCGCGAAGTAGCGAGGTAGATCATAAATCGATTGCTATATTTGCGAACCAATAAACAAAAGCCCCGAAACAAAGGTTCAGCGCAAATACACACTATATGTACCAATATAACAACATGGCCTCGTACGTGTCATCTGCGGAGAATATCAAAATAAAACTCTAATCCAATTATAGATTGCAAATTGATTTGTACAGATTAAAACACCACAGCCCATGCAAAGAGAATAATGTGGTAGTCTCTGTCTCCCGTATTTGATTGAATCATTAATATTCCTGGTGAAATGAGGCAGCTCGGGCTTTTTTTTTGTGCGTATCCGAAGTTCCGGTTTATGTACAAGCGCCACATCCGTATTAGTAAACAAACATGTGGCTTGAATATCAATATGTTGGTCATGTTATAGTTATTATTAAATGATCGCCAAACGAATGTATATTGTTTGGATGTGTAAGTGGCTTTGAAATGTGAAACAGTGAATCACCGAGTCTAAAAATTTTCCTTGAACATGACGTTTTATTTGTTGTGCAACGAAAACTGCGCACGAGAAATGATTCGCTTGGCAAATCATTTTGACACAGATAAGCGAGACAACTGAACACGCTACAGTACGCAGTAAACAACGAATTTGGCTCATAATAAAAAGACTTTAAAAAAATTTTTTGCCAATAATTTATAACTTGGCAAGTAATTATAAATGCAACTGTATTTAATGCATCGATTAACTTGGCGTTTACGTTTTAACCCGGGTAATATTGCCGATGATGGCCACTTTAATACAACAAATAGTTATGATGGAAAACTCTCATTGGAACAGACTGTTATCAAATGCAGAGGTCTTTGTCGGGAACTGTTAACATTCTATATTGTTCAAAAGTAGAAATTGTCAGTCGTCAATTAATTATTGACAAATCAGATGACGAGAATATCACCGGAAATGATTTAGTATCAGAATGTCAACATTCTTGACGAGATTTGTAACAATTTGATTACGATATGCGTATGCTCGTTCTACCGGGGGAATTCCGCTGACAACAAATGTATGCAAATTTGCTGTAAATAACAATTACTATGAAAATGTTATCGCATTAAAAAAATATAACAATCTAGATGGGAAAAAAGAGAAGCCCTTTGTCATAGATGTTGTGCATAATACATTAAAGACTGCACCATTGTTATGAAGCGTGGGTGCGACAAATCTAAACTAAGCAAAGATTGAGAATCAATCTTTGTTATTCGTTGTTGCTTTGTTCGTAAACCATTTCCATACCATCGTACAATACAATCGAAATAGGAGAAAATTCATCGTGAATATTTTATTCATTATTAGTAATCATTAAACAATGGTGAAAAGTTTACCACATTCTTCGGCTTTCGAAACTCTGCCAGCCTGATTTCTCCTTGATGAAAATTTTTTACCCATATACATATGTACTTGTAACTGTCTCTCCTCAAAATGCTAATTCAGCTCCAAGCTTTTCGTTTTTCGCTAAAACTCTGCTTGCTGTTCATCATGCCCTTTGACCAGCTTTTTGTTTATTAAAAAGTATAATCTATTGAAATCGGCATCCGTACTTCTCCTCTTCTTAGACTCCGAAATGCTAGTTCATAAGCCTTCCGTTCCATCTCATCTGATAACAAAAAGTCTTTATCAAATTATCGGACTTGTAGCTTGAGCATAAAATGTTTGAGCAAACTTGCTTTGAAGCGTTTGAGATAAACTTTGAGTTTTTTTTATTTGTTTGTAACAACTATGTGGCCAACCTCTGCTAATTTAAAGTCAGAAATTAATGACGTCTTGACATTAATCTTTATTTAGCACGTAAGATGTGATATGCAAGTTGAGTTAACTGCTAACTTTACGATTATACCAACTCGGGTAACATTTTGAGGCGTAAAAAACTTTCAACTATGCAAACCAGTATTATTTCAGTACTTGATACGCCGTTTACATATGCTTCAATTTCAACAAAGGAGGAAAGTGTTTGGAATGGTGGAATGGATAATGTTAGAGATGGCCGTGAGTACGTATGGTTTTGTGGGTTGGTTATTCCACCGTAGTTGGACGGTTGCTTTTGAGGAAAATTTCGTAAGTTGAAATGTCTTTCGGTAGACGCAAATTTCACCATGCTGAGACATTTCTGGTTCGTCGCAATTTTCATAATTTACTTGGGAAGACAAAGGCTAGCGCTGGTTTGAATAGTTGACATTATCTGATGTTAGCAGTTAAGTTAAAAAGAAAATAAAGAGCCGATTGGATATAGAAGTTTTCTGACAGACTAAATTTCCTTGACCTGACTGTACACAGTGAACAGATACCGGTTAAGACGGTAAACCAATCTGCCACTAATAAAACTGGCTTGATATACCGCATTTTAGTATCTGAATATGTTATAGTTAATTGACGTCCATCGCATATTTTTTCAACAGTTTACAAATTACTTGATACGATGTCCGGCATATCGTGGAAACTCAGATATTTGACATTCTATATGAAAAAGTCTCAATAATAATCGCGCTTTATTAATATAACTTAACAATCAACTCATAATTTTTGCATCCTACATCCGTTATAAGCGACCTCCATTTTTTGCGCGTAATTTATTTGTTGCGGAAAAATGGTCAATGCAATATTAATATCAAATTTCAAACACCACAATTTGCACGCACAGCATTATTTGTTATGGATCCAGTTTCCACGTGTAAAGAAAGCATTTTCGTAAAGCATTACTATTTTTTTTCAGTGTTTCAGTTAAACTGATGATGATACTAATTATCCCCAATAGTGTGTGCTTACGAGACGCGTTAGAAAACATAAAAACATTTCTAATTTAACTCTTTGTTAACAATATGGGATATTATACTTAAATATTTTACATAAAGTTGGCTGAAAAGTATAATAAAAGAAAATCTGTAAAGCATTAAAATGTCTTTTCTAATAGGAAACCCCTCCAAACGCAGCACTCGGTCCCGAACTCAGACGCAACATATTTAAGAAGGTTTGTCATAACTTTTTACTGCTGTTAGCACCCATTTAAATCATATGACTGTGAAATATGTCATATATATGATTGTTAATTGCAATTAAAGTTTTATTCTTGTCTTCCCATGTTAAACTATGATTTATCATTTGATAATCCAGACATTATTTCAGAATATTTGCGTATTTTTAACGTTGCTGATAGCATCTATAGAGAGTTTACTTAGTTAAACGTTGAAATAATTGCGCGATCAAATAATAACCGCTGCCATAAGTTACAATTACGGTCAACACTCAAATTTCAGCGGTAGCTTAATTATTTTATGCGAGTAAGCTGCTTGCATGTAAATTTAAAGAGTCTAGTTTTTGAACAATAAATGGATTAAGCAACTAAAATTAACTCTGCAATTTTTTTAGCTTAACGTTTTATATTAATATTGGAAAATAATCTTGTGCTTGAGTTTATAAACATGTTTATCTTTAACATGCATTATTGATAAAAAAAATTGCAAATACGATGCGGCAATCGCGTTTTTATTAGTTTAGGGAAAACAATACATTCTTGAAGCATTACTTGACACTAAATGAAGTAAAGCTTATCGAAAACAATTTCCATTCGTTGCTCTTCTCTTTTACTTTTATTAAAATTTACGTGCAGATTTTTGAAAATCTTAATTCAAGTTGATATAACTTTATCATTGTTGTTTTGCACAAAATTAGAAAAACGCCATTCAATGCTTTCCTCCAGGGAGTATAAAAATTGGCGAAACTAAATGGCGTTTGTTTAATTATTCACTGTTCAAAGCCTTAAATTTGCATGTAGATTCTCGGAAATTTAGTTACGAACAGATGTAAGACATTTTATTAACTTTACATAAAGTTAAAAAATACTCATTCAATACTTGTGTTTAGTAAATGTAAATAAGTGATACGTTAATACGTTTAATTTATTCAAGAAACTTTGCTGTACTGAATGGTATCAAGTATAACTTCTCATCTCAAGTTTGCGTGTTAATATATGCCTGCTGTCAACACACAATAAAACACGAAGAATATTGAAATTGTTATTTTGCAGCAGCGTTCACGACCGATATTCGAGGCCTGAAAGCGGAAAACTAGTTTATGACAAAATAACGCTTATAAAATTGAGCAATTAACATGCAATTTTTAAAACGTTTTTAATGGCTCTAATTATAATGTTTTCTGGAATTGAGTTAAAATGTAGATGCCATGACAGACAGTAATCGGTCACTATTACTGGCCGAATAATAATAATATTTATATGCAGATAGTTTTGGAAGAAAGTTTCTTTCCATTCATATTTGTTGTACCTGAAAACAATTGTAACATGTTGTTACAAGCTAACTATGAGCAGGGAGGACGACAATTTGCATACGTTGTATGGATCCGCAAGGTGTCTAGAATATGTTACGCCGGCTAGTTTATCTTTAAAAAAAAAAGCTTGAATGCTTTGACCCAAAGTTAGAGAAAGCGAATATTCGTATTCTTAGATGGAGGAAGGATAAACAGTGTAATCCTGTTTCGAGATTCACACAACGGAATCAATTGTAAAAGCTGCATCGGATTGAAACTTTATACATAGACCATAATACATTGAGAAAGATAAACCAATAACATGGAAGACGTGTAACACACGCATCAAATATGCATTCGTGACCAGTGTTTTTTTTACACAGAAACCAGAGTTTTACCAAAAGTGTTACATGCTTGGTGCAAAAATGGCAACTTGTGTTATCCAAAATACTTGATATCTATTCAATATGGCAATCTATGAAGTGACAATCAAATAAATGACCTGTTAGCAAACGGGGCATATCAATGTGCGATATCACAGCCCGTCTAAAACAAACTTGAGCAGATTGTAAACGATTTTCCCTATTTTACAACATTATTTAACATCATTATTATTACTGATTACTAATACTGATCAGATCGTATTTAGATGCTTGCGGCAAAACTTTTAAATATATAAATTATTTCTATCTCATATGCATTAATATTAATATGTTTTATCGGCCATATCGATAAAGGGCGGAAAGGAAAAAAAAGTTTCTTCACGCAACCAATTACGTGCGTTCACATTGTATAAATAATATATGTTACACGTGATCGCGCGGGGTGATACATAATTCCCGTGAAAGTTGTCCATCCCCCCCACGCAAAAGAGAAACAAAAGTTTGGTTCTTGGTTTATTTCTACTCTCTTGAGAAAAACTATTAAGTCAAATTCCGAAAGAAAAGTGAAAGATGTCTGGTCGTGGAAAAGGTGGCAAAGGACTTGGGAAAGGAGGAGCAAAACGTCATCGTAAAATCCTTCGTGATAATATTCAGGTAATACTTCTTTTCCCACAGTACTAGTTGTCGGTTTCTGTAGTCGTTAATATCTTAGTTCACTATGCTTGCAGGGTATTACCAAACCGGCTATCCGTAGGTTGGCCAGACGTGGCGGGGTAAAACGCATCTCAGGACTCATCTACGAAGAAACGCGTGGTGTTTTGAAAGTATTTTTAGAGAATGTCATACGGGATGCAGTTACATATACAGAACACGCTAAAAGAAAGACTGTAACTTCGCTCGATGTCGGTAAGTATATAAGGTCAATGCCAAGCTGTGTGCAGGTTGTCAACGAAATCTGTCTCAACCTGTCCCCAGACTATAGTCTGTTTTGAATGAGTCTATTGTTTATATTTGGAATAAGAGACTAACAATTCATTTCTCTTAACTCTACTGTATTCTTAATTGGGTGATAGTCAGGTGACAAAGATGATGATAATCTGCGACGCCAAAGGCATAATATAAT